GAATATTTCTTTAACTCAATTTTTGTAATATAGTATGCCAATATTTTTCTGGCATTTTCAACAAAATTCCTCCATGTGGAACTCACTGTACTCTACATGCACACGAATTTTCACCAAAAATTAGAATTTTCTTCTGATATAGTATGCAAATATTTTCAAACTTTGGCACTTCATCTAATCATCTAACATCGTCTAACTACTTAGCTACCCTGTGTTCAAAAAAGCATAGTATTTGCAGTGATAGAAGTATTATGAAAAGTGGTTGTTCGCTTCTTGCCTTGTTTTCTGTACGTATGGAATACCTGTCCCTCGAGTTTCTCGATTTTTGCAAATTTCCATGTGTATGGAGTACACGTTTGTTAACCCGTGTGTAGGTGTCGCAGGTATTTTTCGATTTGCATATTTGATTGCGAAGAATGCTGCTAAGCAGCTGCTATTCGCGCACGGTTGAACTCTTAATAGGAGATTTTCCAATAGAATCTTTTGGCATCGAGAGTACTTGGTAAATATAGAACACTTATCAACTAGCGTGACGATTCTCTCATATTTTTTAAATTGATCCGACCTTCCGCAATGAGATCGAGCGAACCTGCAATTTCGAAAATTACGCCACTTAGTATAGCACCTGCAATTTCATATAAAGGATCTACGGTGAGAAAGAAACTTAAGTAAAACGGCAGTTTCTTCCATGAAACTTTTCACCGGTTGAGAAAGAGTATCTCTTTATCATAATTACCCATAACAATCATTAACGAAATTATTTCGAATTTCTATTATTCTTTCAGAATCGTGTTATCTCCATATTTTTTTATTTACTCGAATTCTTTAACAATATTCTAATATTTTAGATTTAACAATCATCTTTTTTAATTTATTTAAGAATATTGATTTTAAAATTATTCACTCTCTAAGAATCTACTTTGCGAAACAATTTAATATCCAAAATCTGTATTTTCAAGTGCCAATCTACCCAGTAAATTTATTTAAAATTTCCAAAAATATCAATCTTTGTTACCACTCGTTTTATTAGAAGAAATTGAAATTACTCGAGAATAATCTTCGATGTGTTTTACGTGCCTCCTGAAGATACAATTTAGATTCTAAAATACCTAAAATTATCTGAAATTATCCAGAAACGATATCCAAAAAATCGTGCAATTTTTTAATAATCTACCTGAAAAAGTGAGTGGTTAAAAATGGTCGACCACGATTCCCGATAAAATAAAACAATTACTCAGCAAGAGGAGAATAAAACGAAAAGATCCAAGTTCTCATTACACAAGTGCGATGGTAAGTCCCTAGAAATCGCTCGACAGCATATTTTTCGCCATTTTATCGCGCAAAAGCCAGTGGAAGCGGTCTCGTTAACATAATTCCCTTTATGATAAGAAGTCGCCATCAGCATCGAGTTCGTACCAGCATGCTCGCGATGACCGGAAATCCCAGACTGCTTTTCCGTTTTACGAGCACCTCTGCTGTGGAGGGTACCCTTCGCCAGAAGTAGAACCGTCGGCAAAAAGTGGCTCACTTTCGTTGCGATCCGAGCGCGATCTTGCGATCACACGAGCCACCGCAAAAGGGACGGCGTTTCGCGAAAGTGTGTTTATTAGGAAAGAGGCTAGGGTAATTAGAGATAAGTGGGCGTAATTGGCGGACTTTCTTTCCACGGGTGTTCTTTCTCGATAAACGTTTTACTCCTGAATCGACGCGGGCTGCAATTGCGTTCTTTGTCTTGCGTTAGTTACTTTGTCGGCCGCGTGCATGGCGCGCGTGTGCCGTTAATTGGACAAGATGACGGTCGTGGGAAATGGAAGATCGGTTTCACTCGCGCGGAGTTACATTGAATGTACTTTTCAACGCCGGGGATTGCATAGAGAATTAAATTCATATTCGAGGCTAACTTTGTTCCGGTGTTGTGAAAATCGACTATCTTGCGAATTTATTGGAAAATTGATAGCACAGGTTTAAACGTGAACCTTAAGAATATCAAACTTGGACCTGGATTTACATATATCACGGGGTATATGAGATATTATTATCCCAGGAAAGTAATTGGGATTGAAAATTTATGGAGGAGATTCAAGTGTCAACTGACTTCCCTAAATATAATATAATTGAAAATTAACAGTCGAAATTTGAATTTTAATTGATGACACAAATATCAGCGTATGGAATACAGAATATTATTTTGGAAAGTTTATTATAATTGAAAATTGACAGCAGAGACACGAAATTAACGCGAATTAATTGTACAAATACCAGCAATGACATTATTAATATATATTGAATATTATTTTAAGAAAGTAATGGTACATTGATATTTGAAATTCATTAAAGTGACGAATCGATGGCTCGAGCTCGAGCCTCAAAGTTGAAGATAGAAATCTTCGAATGGGACACTGTAATTAATTAGCTTAATTTGGTGAAAATTGATATCGAGTACCGAATGGATAGTCGCGTGAAAGAGATCAAAGAAAACGAAGAAACGCCTGATTGCATCTGGGGAGGTTAGTAGGGTGTCATTAATCAATCGTGCAGGAAGCAGTACTGATCCGTGCTGATCTTTCTTGCATTCCTCAAGTGAAAATGGAGAAGCGAATCGATCGTCGCGAAATTTGTGTCTCGTCCGACATTTTTTATTCACGAACTCCATCAAATTTCACGTAACTAACGCTTCTCTATCGTCATTTGACCTTTTACTCGGCAAAAGTACGTAAAAAAGTTAGCTCGAAAACGTCACCGCAGGCGTACATCTATGTAAAAAGGAAACGCCGAAGAAAGTTTCGAAGAAAAGGATCGGAGACAAATTAATAAACGCGTCGAAATAAATTTACTACTCGGCAGAAATAGAAATCTTATTAAACATCATCCATAAACATGAAATCACTTGAACCTTTTCCTGCCTATCTACATACCATTTCAAACATCGGATATCATTAAACCGCGTATACTAGGAGCCACTTTACAATCCACAAAAACTGTCCTCGATTTCGAACATCTGTTCCTTAATTAAGCGCGACGTAATCTTCGTCGCGAATTATAAAAGAACTGAAATCAGGGAAAAATTCGAAGACGAGTAAAGAAAGAGAAAGAGGATCATTTTGATGAAGTGCCATTTTAATGGAGGTAGTATTTATTTTGATGAAGGTGCCATTTTAATAGAGGCGCCAATTTTATGAAAGTACCATTCCGATAAAAGTGCCATTTGGATAGAGATACCACTTTTATGGTAGTGTCGCTTTAATTATGGTGCCATTTTTATGGAAGTGCGACTTTGATTGCGGTGCCATTTTGATAAAGGGGCCATTTTCGTGAACACGTTGTTATATAGGTACCGGTGATGCGTGTGAAAGCTCGTTGAACTTGCCTATAGCTCGCATCTCGTCACGATGACATATTTAATAGGGGTACCATTTATTTTGATAAAGGTGCCATTTTAATAGAAGCTCCAATTTTATAAAAGTACCATTTTGATAAAAGTGCCATTTGGATAGAGATACCACTTTTATGGTAGTGTGGCTTTAATTACGGTGCCATTTTTATGGAAGTGCGACTTTGATTGCGGTGCCATTTTATGGAAGTGCCATTTTTATAGAGGGGCCATTTTCGTGGACACGTTGCTATATAGATACCGGTGATGCGTGTGAAAGCTCGTTGCACTTGCCGATAACCCGTATCTCGTCACGGGGACATAAATTCCTGACTCGAACTGGCATAGAATACAGTCGACCCACTTATACACTGTGACTACTTTCACTTGCGGCGAGTTGAAGCGCACTTGAGCCAAAGATTCCCGAATAATCCTTTCATCCGGCCACGATGCCCTTCGGTCAAGCTTTGGTCACTTTCGTCGATGCTCGAGGAAGGAAACGCGTGATACTTAGCGAGATATATAATGGATACTGCTCGAAGATCGTTTGAATGGAATTGTCAGAGGCCGATGGTAATTGGAACATAGCGAAAGAGGTCTGGGAAGTTGATGCAAAAATATAATTCTATTTGAAAATTAATAGTATTAATTTCACGAACATAGTGATATTGGGAATGGTAAGATATGTAACATATCTTGGAACGATGAAAGTCATTATGGGATATAAATTAAAAACCATGGAAAATTGCGAAGAAAATTCGTCGAGTTTCGCAAAATAAATATAAATTTTATACGAAAGCTATTCTTTTGAATTAAAATTTATTAAATATCCATAAATTCGACGAAGCATCGAATTTCTAAAATTGGAACGAAACAACCAAATTATCCTAATCCAATTCTAAAATTGCAATATTGTTAACTTATCTTCCAATTCCAAAAAATACTAGATACTACGATAACGTTAGATACTAAATTTATCCAAGACTATCGAAATTCACCAATTGTAAAATATATCGAATTTTAATTATCGTAAATTTTATACGAAAGCTATTCCATTCCATTTATTCCTTTACATTGAAATTTATCAAATATCCATAAATTCAACGAACCATCGAATTTCTAAAATTGGAACGAAACAACTAAATTATCCTAATTCAATTAAAAAATTGCAATATTGTTAACTTATCTTCCAATTCTAAAAAATACTAGATACTACGATAACGTTAGATACTAAATTTATCCAAGACTATCGAAATTCACCAATCGTAAAATATATCGAATTTTAATTATCGTAATAGGAGAAGCGAATCACCGTGATTTAATTACAAAAACCAGAACAGCTGTGGCAATTTCGTGTTCACACATACCTTCCAATTATAGAAACAATAATGGATACGTATAAATACTAATGGACGGAATGGTAACAATAATTACTTTACAGCCACTTTCTTCTGGGTTTCTACGTGTCCATTTCTGTGTCTTATTCTTATTACAACCGTTTGGAGAAAGTTGAACATTAGTAGGTTTCAATTTTTCAGCGCGAAAATTGCTCACGTCCGTGTGCTTAATGGTGGAATCACTGTTACCGTCGTCAGGCTGGATCTTTTTTTTTTACACATCGAAAGAGAGATTAACAGAAGACGCTGGAACAGTCCTTCTTCTTCACCGCCTCGAAAACTTCGTGAAGTCCGCTCTCCTTCGCCATCGCTGTCGATGTTCTTGCAAGGAAAATCACTGTACTTGAGACAATCTCTCGATCAACGGGATACCGACATATTCGAATTTCCCGAAGACGGAACAGCAGAGAGATTTCGTGTTCTCGCGATTTTAGAAATCAGAACCAAAAAATTGGGACAGTTTTATAAGAACGTAGCAGATCCCTTCTTGTCTCGAATGGTTAAAAGTGGAATAAAAATCGCGTTCACACGAGCTATTCACCAGTGTTTTAAACATTTCCTCCGCTGTTCCACTTCCGTAATTGCATAGACGCCATCAGCCGGCTGACAAGCCATTAAAAATGCGCTGATGAATGTCCGAGAGTAAACGAATAGCTTCTTCAACAGCCAATAAAGTAACTTTTAAGTAATGAATCTGAAGTTCACATTCGTTCCTTGTTCGAATAAATACTCAATTCTCAGAAGCTTCCATGAATTTCTCCAAAATTTTGTTTTCAATTTCTCACATCTTCGCGATTTTATTTCCTCCATATCTTTCCGTGATCTTCAGGTTTGCTGAGGTGTTGTATAAATTTAATAATCAAAATCGCGAATAAAATTAGTCGATATCCCTTTAAGATTCTAATTTCCAGATTTACTCGGAGTTTTATAGGAATTGAACGAATAATTGCGAAGAAAAATAAAATTCCTCGATATTTCGTCAGAATCTTAATTAAAAATTTTTAAATAATACTTACCTGGTGGCTAGGTTCCACAGAATGTTCTGCAACACGGTCGATTCAGCGTCGCCACCGGCCAAGATCATGTCACAGATCGATCTCTCTTCGCAGTCGAAGGAAGGATCCACGAATCGTGCCTGTTTATGCTCCACTGGGAGGTCAGCGACCCTCCACTTGGACAGGACAATGTTGGGCTGGCTGAAGGGATCCGTTCGTGATTAGAATTCGAGTAGATACGCTTCTAGAGCGGAAAAAACGAAAGTATACTCACGTAGTGTTGTCGACCTTCACGACACTAGGAGTTAGAGCAGCCACGAGCAGGCCGAGGGGCAAGATGGCGCCGATCAGGTGAAGAATCTTCTTCCAGGGGGAGATCCTGCAACAAATATCGATAAATCAGTGATATTTCACACGATAAAATAATTTCTTCCATATCTTTTTACATTTCGAAGTCGTTCTAAAAATTCTGGAAGAGGTCAAAATTCGTCGCTATTAGCTGAAGACGAATTCAAATATTAGGTTAACTCTATAGTCATTCATTCGCGTTAATCACGAGTGAAAAATTTGCAAGTTTACTTATCAGTCACTCGGAAATTATCGAAGAAATCACACTTTGTACTTTAATTTGGCAACAGGAAGAATTTGTCAGTGAGGAAGAAACGCTAGAAAGTGAAATATGGTAAAAGTTGGAAATAATAAATCTCGAAAGCAAGAAAAGAAACTAAATACGGAGAAGATATTAAGATCAAAAGAACCTGGAAATATGTAAAAACCAGTGGAAAAGGAGAAACCGAAGAAATTCGATTAAATTACCTGTTCTTAAGAGATTGAGATGGCCGTCCGCCATTAAGAAGCTCGACTTTATGATATCCAACGTGTGGCTGATGAACGAGATACGGGAACTTCCTAGTTCTCATAAACGCCATGTCTTGAACATAAACCACCCCGTTATTAGGTTTCTTCCACGGATCGATCTCCTGCAAGTTTGGCTGCTGGGTCTGCTGCTCATAGAATCCCATATAATACGGTGTCTTCAACGAATCGACGCTCGAAACGCTCGCAACCTCGTATTTCTGCGTTTCGCCCTGAAACTTGGAAGGTTTTCCCCAAACGGAAGTCGCTTCTTGCTCTAAAACCGGCCTCTCCAGGTTCTGGAAAACCTGTTGATCCACCAAATCGTACTGCGTCCCCACGTTCTCAGTTACCGACTGAGCAAACTGCTGATGGAACGCCTGGTCCTTCATCGTACTGCCATATCGTACTCTGGGGACATCCTGAGTAAACTGCTGATGGAACATCTGGTCCTTGGATGGCCTGACATATTGGACGTCAGGAATGTCAATAGCGTCGTCTTGAAACTTGACATAACTCTGGCCCAGCCCATCCTTCTTGGTCTCTTCAAAAGTCCCCATAGCAGCATCGAATAGATTCTGATGAAAGTTTGCTCGGTGATCTGTTTGAGGAGTTTGAACAGCAGGCTGGAAGAACATCCGGAAATCCTTCAAGTGCTCGTGATAGCTAGGATCCACTCCATTTTCAAGGCTGAAATGGGCAACACTGTTGAAGGGACCAGTACTGATCCTGGACTCTTTGATCTCTCCCAGGTGCACACTCGGTCTGAATTCTCTGGAAACGTTCTTCTCTGAGTCGATGGAGAGTGTCAGCTTCTGGTAGGTCCCTACAGTAGTCGTGGACTCCGTGGTCGTGGCAGATTGCAGAGAAAATTGATCCTCGGTGGGTGATTCCTCGATGAATTCCTCGACTGGTTTCACGTCCAGGTTTGGGCTCAGGTTCTTCGACTCGTTCGAATCCTTGGCGTGGATAGAGTTCGTCGATGAGAGCAGGATGAGGAACAGCAGCTCTGTCGCGGAGACTCGCAGGGGTTTGAACTCCATGTTGGGGTTTCACGTTCAGTAAAGGGAAAAAAGGATAACGGTGGACGAAGACGTTTCCATCACGGTGTTCTTGCGGGACTAAAGAGCAGATTTGGCGTCCCGACGCCTTTAACTCGCGAGAAACTAACGACGAAACGTTCTCTAAAAAGCGTGAAGGCGAAATTTGTTAATCGTCAGCTTTACTCCAATTGCAGTTGACAAAGTGCCGTTTAGTTCCAGCAGAGATGTGTTCGAGGAGATGTTGAAGGAGGATTTCGAGGAGCCACTGATATTCGACACTTTGGTACCTAGGATTACCTAGATAGATTGTTTCGCTTGGAAATCATTTTATTTTGTCATCAAAAGGAGATTTCAGCTTTAAAAGATCCCCGACTTCATTCTTCGGCAATGCTTCTATTTACAATTATATTTTTATTGTTATCAGATATCGTTAGGTTTATTTTGCACATTAAAACAGGTTATCCTGTAGAGATCTCGAATGTGATTCAACAGGTTCACGTTGAAATAGGTATCCTGCTGGTATTTTCTGATGAACTAGTTTCTCCAGAGCACAGTTATTCCTAGACCACCCGGTATGTTCCCATTCACACAACTACATAAACTCGTTTCAAGTTGTATTCAACAACTTTTCACTTCTCTATTGCACTCTTCGCGAAGCTAATTACATTTACCAAACTACTCTGCTATTTCTGGTTGCTATTATTTTCAAAATCCTTACATAGACGACATCCCTGTCATAGTAATCGTACCTATTATACCAAACTTAGCTGAATCCCAAGGTAGGGATTCCCAAGTAGAATCCCAACTGGACCTAAAAACATTTAGACGTCTAAAATTTTTGTTCCACGATAAATTAATATTAATTATAATACCATAATATTTAATTGGTACAGAAATATTTAATTAATACTATGTTAACACTCCCTGTTAAAAATTTTGGAAGACTCATAGCACATCCATTATTCTCTCGTTACTAGTTTCTTTATCGCTACCCATATAGATCATAGTTAAGCACGAATTACTCGCTCAACTATGTTCCAGTTATCAACGATGATAATCTATAACAGAAATGGTACATCTTGATATTGTAATAAACATCCTGACAACGTCTATCGATGACAGTGCCTAGAGGATAGGATAATTACGATTGTCAGCGGGTCGTCTTTTCTCCAGTTGTAACTGCATTATCAGCGCGTTAACATCTCGGCGAGGTCGGAACGAAAGTGGCCGGAAAAATAAGGAAGAAAGGACAACCGCGAAAGGGGATAGCCTAGATGTCGGGACGATATTCACGCATCGACAACCAGTTTCCATGGAAAGTACAGTTCGGAATAATGAAACGTTTTTACTGTCGAGAACGCGTGTTAACGCGAGAAGTCACGAAACACACGGAGAACGAGGCTTAACCGGGAATTTTATATCGGATTTCTCGTACGGATTCTGGGACACTTTTCACGCTGGCCGGCTGTAAAACGTAGAAAAGAAGGATTATAATCGTTAACGCGTTTCCCGGAGTACGAGCTGTCTCTTTTTCGATGCACACTTTTCCCTGGTTTCACCGTTTCTCGTTTTTCACGCCGCGGAAACTGCGAGGATCGACCATGAGTCTCGATGTTTCGATTCATCAGCACGGCGAGATTCAGATGGTACGATTTCAGTGATGAATTCGAGTCACTGTGATTTTCTGGGATTGCGAGGTACATTTACGACGAGGACTAGCAATAGTTGGGGTACAGAATATAATTAGCTTCAGAATTTTGGTAAATTCGGAATCGTGGGACCAAGATAATGTCAATGAACTGCTCTGCTCGAAGATCAGGATACTTTGATGATTTTCGTGAATTGAAGATGAGTGTGATAGCAGATGACAGTACCAGGAGGACCTCGCCGAACTCTAGGTGGCTCTACTGAAGGAAAATCGCGATCTGAATGTCGATCTGTCGGAAGATGACGTTATCAGGACTCCAATCATCTCTAGGTAGTCCTATTGACAGAAATATCGTGGTCTAAAACTGATAGACCTGATAAAAGGTAAGGATAACAGAAAAATCTCAGTAATCTCAAGATGAATGAAATCCTATCAAAAAGAAGTACTGCGATGTAGAAGTGGATTTGACAGGAGTTGGCAGTGCCAAAAGGACTCCGAAGACCTTTAGACAGACCAATTGATAGAAATAGGGCGATCAAAGAATGACAGAGAAGTCAGAAAAGAAAGACAGAATCAGGAATGATCTCTATATTCTGCCAAGACATCACGGTACTATAATAATCAAGAGGATACCAGAAATCTCAGTGAAAGATTACGATACTTCGATCATTTTCGCGATCAGAAGATCAACAAGACATCAGCAATTTCGAGATAACTCTGTAGGAAAATGATTTCCACGACTTCCACAACTGGCAGACAATTTTGACGAAGATCGAGGGGACTTCAGTGGCCTCGAAACAGTTCTAATGGAAGATCACAGTAAACACTTTGACAACGCCCGTAATTTGAAAACGACTGCAACGAAAGATACGAGCACTAGGATTCCAATGATCTGAAAAAGGCTCTGCCAGGTCTCCGTTCCCACTCGGACACAGCAGCTCTGACTGAAAATGAGAGTACCAGGACTCTAGCGACCTCGAGGTAATCTTCCAGTTCTCCTTGGTTCTCGAGGAGTGAGATTCTCTTATCGATATCTGCTCGAACTCTCCTATACCTTCGACAATATTCTAATTAAATTCAACCATCGAGTTAATTCCTTCATCAGAGAAGTATATGTATATGTAGGATATTTTTAGGGGTTAAGAGTGAAAGCGGAACGAATGAATGGGTGGTCTTAGTTCTAAGTGATTGCATGGGAACGCCTGGGATGTTTCTTGGAAATAAAAGATACTAAACAGCGACCTCGGGTTTGGATCCAGCGTTCAAAGTGATACCTGGAGTGCGTGGGGAAGAACAAATGATAGGGTGAAGGGACAGTATGGACAGGATTTCTATGACTGTATTGAGTGATCGAGGAAGAAAGCCTGTGTGTGAAAGAAGAGAGACTGTAGGTTTAAAAGAAAAATGCAAGGGTGTGGAAGATTCAGTGTGTGAAGGATTAGAGTATATGGGCAGAGTCTGTGAAGAGTTAGAGACGATAGACAGAGTCTGTGAAGACTTAGAGTCTATGGGCAGAGGCTATGAAAAGTTAAAAACTATGGACAGAGTCTGTGAAGAGTTAAAGTCTATGAGCAGAGTCTATGAAAAGTTAAAAACTATGGACAGAGTCTGTGAAGAGTTAGAGTCTATGAGCAGAGTCTATGAAGACTTATAGTCTATGGGCAGAGTCTGTAAAGAGTTAGAGTCTATGGACAGAGTCTATGAAGACTTAGAGTCTATAGACAGACTCTATGGACAGAGTCTGTGAAAAATTAGAGTCTATGAGCAGAGTCTATGAAAAGTTAAAAACTATGGACAGAGTCTGTGAAGAGTTAGAGTCTATGGGCAGAGGCTATGAAGACTTAGAGTCTATGGGCAGTGTCTGTAAAGAGATAGAGTCTATGGACAGAGTCTGTGAAGACTTAGAGACTATGGGCGGAGTCTGTGAAGATTTAGAGTCTATGGGCAAAGTCTGTGAAGAGTTAAAAACTATGGACAGAATCTGTGAAGACCTAGAGTCTATAGACAGAGTCTATGGAAAGAGTCTGTAAAGACTTAGAGTCTATGGGCGGAGTTTGTGAAGACTTAGAGTCTAAGAACAGAGTCAGAGTACGTAGAGTAGGTCGAGCCTTTAGTACTAGCGTCGTGTTTTTTTAATTGGACTATCTTTGAACTATACCAGACAATAATTTATATTTTAAATATACTTTATTATTACTAAATTTAAAACCCGTGTTCTTTGTCCCATCTGTGCTCTTTCCCAATTCCTCCCTTATCCCTCACCATACATATACATACAATTACATATATATGACCTTACATATACACCAACACGTGTATAATAAATTACAATGAATTCTCTCGAAAGGGAATTCCGATATCTTTATCCCCAATGTCCCAAGTATGAAATAAGAAAATAGAATTTTCGCGACGAGGAAGCAGATTGAAGATCGTAAGCAGATGCAGGAAGAGGATCGCTAAAGCTGATGGATCGTTAAGGAAGAAACGGACCAGCTGGGATTTCTACGGGCGAGGCGTAAAATAGGAAGGAAAAATATTTTATTGCATCGCTTCACGGAATGTGAACATCGAGCGGAAAGGGGTGAAAAGACTTTCTAAGGCGAGTTTTATCAGCGAGCGGCGAGAGTCTGACCCTGTTTCAAGCGGAGGGTCAAGTCGTGCCGAGCAACTGGACGAGGCAGATGTTAGATGGGAGATAAAATCGTACAATGCCTGGCACGACTTCTACGAATAGTCACCGTGTCTGGCGTCGTTTAATTAAGATACGAGCGAAACTCGATTACTTTTCCCCAATTTATGTCCGCGCGATTCTTGCATTAATAATTCTCCACTACCCGCATGAAGCTGTCATAACATTCGGTGAGGAATAGAAGGGTCATAATGAGAAAATTTAATGTCGTAAATTGGAATTTACAGGGATTGTTAATATCTTGAAAGAGTAATTTATTTCCCCTGGGATTTTCGGCTTTTTAATATGGTTTCTGGCATTTCATTTTTGCCATAAACCATTCACGTGACATTTAAATTTTAACTCTGAGTTTAAATATGTATGTCTCTGTTTCGCAGTTGTTCATTGACTATTCTCATTTCTACATAAATTTCATTCCAATTGCATATACGAATTCTTACTTCGATTATTTTTAATTTAATTTAATTTACAATGCGTCCAAAATTTTTTGAGAAAATCCTGGAAGAATAATTTATTTCTCTAGGGATTGCTGGTTTTTTAATATGCCATATTATTTTTGCCACGAACCATTCACGTCACGTTTAAATTTTAACTCTGGATTTAAATATGTATGTCTCTGATTCACCATTGTTCAGTAATCATTCTCATTTCTATATAAATTTCATTCGAATTGCATATACGAACTCTTACTACGACTATTGTCAATTTAATTTAATTTACAATGTGTCCAAAATTTTTTTAGAAAATTCTGGAAGAATAATTTATTTCTCTAGAGATTGCTGGTTTTTTAATATACCATATTATTTTTGCCACGAACCATTTATGTGACATTTAAATTTTAACTCTGAGTTTAAATATGTATGTCTTTGATTCTCAGTTGTTCATTGACTATTCTCATTTCTACATAAATTTCATTCGAATTGCATATACGAATTCTTATTTCGATTATTTTTAATTTAATTTAATTTACAATACCTGCAAAATTGACTGAAAAATTAAATTTTAGGAGTCGTAGAAAACGTATTACAATATCTCAATAATTTATTTCCCTTCTCTAATAATAATACCAGTTTTAAGGCCGAATTGTTCAAATTATTAAGGACCACATAACAATATGTTGTTACCATTTCGTGGCATTATTTATTATTACTTAATTCAACTTAATTTTATTTTTCTATGTAATTTGGTGTATAGTGTTGTACCTTTTATTGTCTGCTGTATAGCTTTCCTATTTTGTGTATGCATGTTTCGTATCACTTTATTAAGAAGTGCTTTGCCCGTAAGTTTCAATAAATAAATAAATAATTAAATAATTTCCAAAAAAATTAAATTGTAAAAAGTTTCCTATGCCTAGAAAATAACAGTATATCCATGAATAATCACGAAGTAATCACGTTTCATTCTTCGTATTAAAGTTCCCATAAACCTTTCTTCTACTTTCTTTCTTTGTAACCCTTTTTATCTTCGCCGTCGGTCTTCCAATTTTTCTCCAATTTTTCCAGCGATATATGGCGTCTCGTTAAAAACTCGAAATACACGAAGCTCGCACATACGATAATCCCATCTCGTTTGCCGACAACGAAAGTAGACGTTCCCTGCACTTGACGGCCGTCTGTTCTCTCCTTTTTCGATACGCGTCCTGTTGTTCGTTTTCGCGGTTATCTACGCCGGAGAACGACCCAATTCCGGTTTCGAGTAGGCCAGCCGACCGCACCGACAGACCGGAATCGGAAGGGAAAAATCCTGGCCCGTTGCGTGCGCAACGGAAGTCGAATAGACGCTCGTCTTCGCGGTAATTCAGACCTTTCCAGGCGACTAATTTTTAAACGAAACTTGCAGTTCTCATTGTTTGCGACTCTCGCGGAGAAACCTTGGGAAGCATAGGGAGTGAGTTTAAAACTCCGCGAATTTACTTGACAGCGATTATCTGTGAGAACGTTGGGTCGAAGTATAAAACTTGCTGCGAACTTTAATCGAACTTCCAAACCATACTCGAGCAACTGTCTTCCTGATGATACAAGTGTTTTAAATCTCAAGAATTGGTACTCCGAATTTTAATTAAAATTTGGAGCTTTTGTTGGTGGAAAATAATCAACGAAACCTTAAAAATGTTGTAAAACGAATTTAAACGAATTTAGAAAATGAAAGAAGAATATTAGTGATATAATACTTGATTCTGTGTAATTAATTTAATTACAAATCCCTCAATAATTGATACTCTGAATTTTAATTAAAATTTGGAGCTTTTGTTGGTGGAAAATAATCAAAAGAACCTTAAAAATTTTGTAAAACGAATTTAAACGAATTTAGAAAATGAAAGAAGAATATTAGTGATATACTACTTGATTCTGTGTAATTAATTTAATTACAAATCCCTCAATAATTGATACTTCGAATTTTAATTTAAATTTGGAGCTTTTGTTGGTGGAAGATATTCGACGAAACTTTAAAAATTAGATAAAACGAATTTAAACGAATTTAGAAAATTAAAGAAGTATATTAATGATATATTATTTGATTCTGTGTAATTAATTTAATTATAAACCCCTCAATAATTGATACTTCGAATTTTAATTAAAATTTGGAGCTTTTGTTGGTGGAAAATATTCAACGAAACACTAAAAATTTTGTAAGATGAATTTAAACGAATTTAGAAAATAAAAAAAAGTATATTAACGATATACTACTTGATTCTGTGTAATTAATTTAATTATAAATCCTTTATTTCGTGTCAAGGAAGATTAGAAAATTAGCAGCGAGTTTAAGGAAATGAGACGACCCTGGGAATGAAAATAATGGTGAGTTTTTACCATTATATAAACATGGCGGAGTATAAAGTGACGGCAAGAAGAGCAAGAAATTGTCCAATAAAATCCTACGGAATCATTGACCTGACCCAACAGATTGCTCTCCGAGGAAGAACTTAACGATAGGTTTGTGGGTCGAGGATGCAAAAATGTGAAAATCCGGGCCCGCGGTTCGGAAGCTGCTCGTAAAACGGAAACGTTAGAGGCGTTTCACTCGTGGAACAAACTGAAGAATTCCATGGTGTGACAAGAGGTAAAAAAGGGGAAAAATTCGCAGGTTTCTGTGTCGAGAGAGCGCAAAAATGGCGGAGCGATCGACTCCCCCTGACTGCTTTACAGTCAAGAATCGCTGATTTATCGAGCATGTTATACTCGTTCCTTTGCTTCTTTTCCTGGCTGTTCTTAATCGACCAATGAATTCGATATAACGAGACAATGAAATGTATCCGAGGGACAATGGAAGATTTGCATCTGAATATCATCAAGCCTACCTACCTTGGCTATTCTAAGATCCTTCCATCAATTACTCGATTCCTATTTCCATTCCTATTCCTCTGAGAATTATTCTTACTTCCATTTTTCCACGACATTGATACGAGATATCAAAAATTGACCAATTTTTGAAATTTATATTTTTATGTATACTACACACTGAGAATCACAAGTGATGAAACACTGTTCCCTTTATAGGTACTACATTTGGGAAATCATAGCGATTAAACGCTGCTTCGACATTGCAACCGATTTCCATCATTGGAACTTATTTTAAATCATTTAATCATTATTCAAGAAATTGGGAAAACATCGAAAAGCAATTTAAAATTTATACACGCGCGAGTATAATATTATCATGAATCGTGATTAAACGCGAAGGATGCTCGAGGGAATAAGCGGCGTAATGTGTAAGATTATTAAAGATAAATATGGAGGGAAAAAAGATGGCGCATCGATAAGGTCGGCTAATGAGGGGAAAAAAGTATTTAACATGACAAGTGTTTCCTACCGAGAGGCTAACAAGATGCTGTAAATTAAATTCTTCGTCAAGGTCTTATCCAGCGTCATCGACGCTTTTGCGATCTAAAAGAAGCACGAAAGCAAGTGTCAGTGTCAAGGAACCGGTTTTAAAGATCGTCCGCTAGTAAAACGCATCTGCTCGCGATGTCTGAGAATCGACGAGGATTGTCCATTGAGGTGTCGGAAAAATGGAGAACGGCGCTAGCGTGAACGGCTGACATTCTGAATCATAACCAGAAAAACCACCGTGCAAAGTAGCTGTTGATTGTCCACGCTGCTGGCAATTAGTGCGTGACGAACCCTAGCTTCTTCGCGATCGCGTTCGCGCCTCGAATACTGTCCGTGAGATCGGAGGAAGCTAGAGTTTTGCTCCTCCAAGCCCCCTCACACCATAACATTGGAAACCTAACATCGGACAGCTTGAAACACTTCATTAAGAAAGTAAGGAACGTCACTGGAGAAAACTGCAGACCCAGTTTTGTTCACGAAAATCCTCTAAAAGCGTCACACTGGAGACCTAACCTAATTGGATACCTTGGTACACTTCATCGAGAAAGTAAAAGAATTGTTAGAGGAAATGGAAATATAACCTAATTATATATCTCGACATATATTAGTAACCAAGCAAGAAAATTTATTAGATGACGGTAACGGTTCTGTTTCGTGCCTCAGGATCCTCTAAAATCATTATACTAAACCCCTAACCTAATTGCAGATTTTGTAATACTTCTTTAAAGTACGTACAGTCAAACTGGTGAGCCGAAAACATTTCGTTAACCTCTTACTGGAACTTAAAACGTGGCTGCAAATATAGATAAAAATCCGAGACCACCTAATTCGAAAAACTAAAAACTCGATCTACTTGAAATTTCATATCGATATATCGAGAAAATTTGAAAATGAAACGTGAAAAGTACCCAGTCGCTTATGCCACGAACGTAGCAAACGCGTGCAGCATGAAACTCTCGGTGCAATCGGTAAAACAATCCCCCACCAGACTGCTCGATCGGTATACTTCCCTTTCAAAAAACATCGCACTCGCCAAAGACAGTTTATTCGCGGCGCCGAAAGAAATGGAGGAGGAAAAGGAAAAACCAAGAGTCGAGCTGCACGAGATCAAGATCTGTGTCAGTCTGCTCGCCAAATCCTCGCAGATCCCAGCTGACAATTATCAGCAGGTAAGAACAGAAATAGGAGGAGAAGAGAAGAATCGTGGACGCGGGCCGCGTCCGTTCTCCAGGTGACCAAGCGTACTGAGCGTGGACAGGCTGTTGCAGCACGTGGCCAGGAGTGAGACGCAAAATGGACCAGGTCCCCAGGAAGTGGGGACCTGGATTAAAAGCAAACGAGGGCAACGTCTCGGCGACAGAGCCATCTCGGACCTTGAGAAGTATTTCAGCTACCTCTTGGTTCACGTTGGTTGCTCCGTGGTTTCCTAACGGGTTCCTGGCTGCCCTTGGTTCCAGTCGACCCTACGATTGTTGGTTGGTTCGCTGCAATCGAAAGTCGACGCCAGGTCTGGAGAAGTTGGACGAGGATCTACGCAGACGGTTAGTGTCGCGACGTGACTCCCTTTTCCACCCTTTCACACCCTTTTGACTCCCTTTCTCTCCCTTTGATTGCTAGTTTTATTAATCCATCCTAGTTTTGTAAATTCGATAATACCTTCCGAGGTGATAGGAGTCAGTGACTATCCGGGTCTCGAATTTTTCGGTGCTCGATGTTTCTTCGATAGATCGCGTCTTTGTTCGCGTAATCCTGGCTCGAGCACGGATCGATTAAGCACTGTTCCAGTTCGATTCTGATTTATGGCCGATGCTTTGTTAGAAGTAGGTTTATAGAGAGGCGATCGTGGGATTCTTGTTCGTTTTGTTCATCGATAAATTGGAACGTGTAGGGTGAAAGCTTGGGAGGAGCTGCGTGTATATTGGTATATCGGTTACGGGTTAACATTTTTCCGCTTCTACAGTACTCGAGGAGTATTTATGATCGTATCCGTACTGTACTGGTTTCGAGATACGTGTCCCACAAAACTGTCTTCGATAATAATTAATTTACCGATACTATAAGTTCGACGAATCTCTGCGGTATCTATAGAATCTGATATTTTTGATAACTCAATCCCCATTTCTCAAATTATGCCAACAAATTTCTCGAAATATTTTTATCAAAGAAACTAAATTAATGATCACTTTCAACTCCGAACTCTGATCATTCCATACTTTAAACAAGAAAGTTACTTAACAAATTTCTGAAAATTTCTGACTATCCTACCTAACCTACTCAAGCAGAAAGTACACCTGTTTTCAAAAGGAGACAGATCAATATCTCGAAATCGCAAGTGCCTACACTTTCTTCGTCCTCTTCATCCTCTTCGTCTTTGCAGATGGCGGCGAGAGGAGCGATATGCCTGCTCCTGGTGACCCTGGCCCTGAGGGGCACTCAGTGCAACACGAGATACTTCATGAAGATGAAGACGAACGCGTCCGAGCTGGTGAAAGCGAAGGGAGGAAGCTTGAGGGTACTTGACGAGCCGATCATGGCCACGCAGAGTCCATTACATCATGAAACAAAGCCTGTCTTTCAGGACGGCGGCCAAAGGATGATCAAGGACTTCCCGAGAAGCGAGGATGATTCGAAAAACGGGTTCGAAACGTCCACGTTTAATCCGGACGTGCTGAACAAGTTCCTAGAGGAATATGCGAGCAAGATCAAGGGTAGTACGGAGAAATATCAGAGGTATCCGTTCAGGATCGTCAAGCCTGCTGAAGCTATAGCTCTGGAGGTGGATGATCCCACCACCTCGACGACTACCATGAACTACGATCAGGATACCAAGTATGAAGAGGACACGTCGAACTCTACGTCCACTGAGGATGGGGTAAGATTTCATTTTTGACCACTCTTTAAAAATTTGTTTTCATCTTCGTCTTTGATCTTGTCTCATACTTCTATCTTGGTCCTTTAATTTTTGTAATACCGAGTGTAATAAGTGTAGTTTAGTTGTCATGGTTGTCTCGTGAATGCTGATTCCAGTTAAGTGCAACGTTGAACGACACTCTAAAAAGGAACAAGTATTACGGGGCGAATTCGTACGAAGACAGGAACGGTTGGGTGACATTAGAGGCAATTCCATGGTCCAAGAGCAAGATTTCTAAATGGCAGGCGACTCCTAGCACGCAGCGCCCCTGGCCGGAAGTGAAACCATGGGACAAGCCGAACATTGGGAAGCCTTGGGCCTCGGATTACTCCGTCAGACCAATCTTCGAGAATAATAAACCGTGGTAAATTCGCCTACAATTTTCTACTCAAGTTGTCCACTTTTTCTTCTTTCCATTGTGACTCTAATTGCCGGAATACCGAACTTTCCACTCAGCACTCGCTTTCCACTAGCTGTTACCCAAACATCCACTTCCAATTAAATCATAGGAACTTCCGTTCCCAAGTCTAAAATCCATCAAATTGCACCGGAATTCGTACTATTTAATTCTAATTAATTTTTATCGAAATAATTTATTATTTCTCTTCTTATCCTATTTTAGGTATGAAAAGCCGAAGCCCACCTGGCCAGAGAACAGCAACGACAAACCATGGCAGAAACCAACTACTCGTCCTCCCTACTACACGGAGAAACCTGAGGAAACCCAAGCTCAAAAATGGCCACCGGAGAGGCCATCTTGGAACAAGTACCAAGACCGACCGAACAGCGATATAATTACAGACAATCGTCCAGCCAACTTCCCCAGCAACTGGAACAGACCTCAGCCGACGAAGCCGAGTTATCAGTACCTGGACAGATACCCAGAGAAGAATCAGCCGGAGGAAAACAACGATTGGCACGATTTTCCAACGAGATTCGACGATCGTCTGAGACCTTCTACCGAGAGACCAGGCTTCTCGCAGTACCAGTACGTGAACAACCATCCACAGAGCTACCCCGGGAACGGAGATGGCCAATGGGTGTTGCTGTCCACGAACAGAGGTTACTCCAAGTCCAGACAGAGGTCGATGAAGATAGATCAGGCAGGCCAGGTGGAGAACGTTACCAAGAGCGTTGGTATAAAAGAGGAAGAACCTGATCCAGCGATCGCCGTGATGACGTCGAAGAGACAGGTTAGGCTAGATGATCAAAGAAGCTTCTGTAATACGAGGAGCAATGAGAATGAGAGGGAAAAAATTCAAATTCCAGGCTTCAACCTGGAATTAATCTCTCGAAGGGAGAATGTACCGAGATATTAATCCACGATAATCAGTGCAGTTTGTCGATCACGCAACTGTTCGATCCTTTAGATTTCGAAACTTGTGAAAAAGAGTTACACAATCCAGCAAAGGTCATCGAATAATTCCGATATTCGTGGAACGAGGTCTTTCACTTTTGCGTGATAGTTCGCTACTCGTAACGAGTTTATTAATAAGTGGGCTTACGTAAACGAAAAGAGAATGATTACGCAGATCATTTGCGCGTTTGTCGAACGCAACCGAGTAATCCTTCAAATGGAACCGGGTAAATCAATCCGGGTTTCATTAGGAAAAACTGGAAAGGGGAAAGGATTTGATCTGATGCTGGATGGCCTGGCTCTTTTTCAGAAAGGGAAATTAGGAACAGAGCGTATCTGATGTACAGGGTGTCTGGTAAGTGCTGGTACAAGTAGACAGGAAGCAATTGTATAACTGAAGATAAGACTCCATATTTGGAAGATAGAGAGTCGTTTTTGGTTGTACTGTGATGATCACTACTCACACCCTTACTATCAGAGGAAATCAAGAAGGTTCGAGGTTACTCGCGAATCCCTGATGAACCCTCCGCTTCCTATGAATACAAATTTCTGACCTGCCTGTAGTATCCTCGCGTCTGAGGCACGAGTCTGCTTGGTAGCCTTATTGACATGTCAGCTAGCAGGAGGCAATGCGTCCCATCCTTTTCCTTTCGTCCTTCGCTCTTCGATCGAAAGAGTAGCCTCCTTGGTACCAAAGACAGCAAGACTCCTGGTGGGGGTAAATCGTCACAATAGGGTGTACTGTGCGTTCGAGAAAAGAAGGCGCAGCGTGCTTAGATCTTCGTGGCTGATTAACTCCGTTGACACTGCCTTGATCACAGATAGTGACGCTATTTTCTGAAAACGGTGACGAAAATCATCAGCAGGTCATAGTGAGACCTGACGAGATATGATAACGACAGCATTGGCGTAGTCTTCCAATTTAAATATTAACTATTAAGAAAGATAACATTATACTTGAAAGACTACGCCGATGCTGCCATTATCCTATCTCGTTAGGTCTCGCTACGATTTGCCGATGATCTTCGACACCGTTTTCGTCCAATAGCAGTCACTGTCTGTGATCAAGACAGTGTCAACGAAGTGAATCAGTCGTGACGACGTAAACACGGTGTGCCTCCTTTTCTCGAACGCACTATACCTCTCAAGCCAAAAAGAGCCATCGCTATAATACCACGATTTATTAGACACCTTGTATAGGGAACAGAAGTGGAATACTAAATGATTTTACCAGTTTTATCTAAAATTCTTCGCCACTCCGTTGCTCTTCGTGATACAAATTAGCAGTCGCTTGATGAAATATGGTTTACCTAGGTCAGGTTGACGGTGTTACCGTCGATCAACGGCACGAACACGACGACGTCTCACGGGGGTCTTCTGGAGGTAGAGAAGACCTTCAAAAGCGTGGACCAGAGCCGGAAAGAGTACGAAAGGGACAAGCAGACGCTGCCGACTATCCTGAAGAGAAGACCTATCAGAAACACGCTAGGAAATCAAGCATCTAGCTCTGCCGTTTTGGCCGCCGTGGGTGCTGGTGAGTTTGCTGTCCAATTCCTAGTATAGAATACAAATATTTATATCGGGTGTCCCAAAATTCACGCAGATAATTTTGACAGAAAACATAGGTTTTTAATTAAAAATCGTAAATATTACTCAACAACGAAGACACGTTGTTCTTTTTGTAGCGATCATTTTTAATAGTTCCAAAGTGTCAGCTGTCACGCTGTCTTTTTACTTTCGTTGGCAACAATTTGACGCACAAATGACACGAAATTCAAATCTTGCGTGAATTTTGGGACAGCCACAATGAACATAATACATAATGATCTAAGTAGAACTGTAATTAGAATTGATTATCTCAAGTACCAAGTAAAAGAGAATTTCTTAAGGGATCAAAATGACTCCTAAAGATCAACGTTTCGAAGAAATAGATAATTTTCGGAACAGTATGATAATAAATTTTTTGAAATAATTGTAAATTTAAAAGCAAAAGTTGAAATGAAAAGAACCTGGTAATTTAGAAATTTAGAAATTGAATCTCTGAAAATCAACGAGGCTGAGATAACTGAGGAAGATAATGATTATGAAATTAATTAAGAAAGTTAATGATTTAGAATAAATTTGCACCTTCACAGGAATATTACCGGCTACAATGGCAATGATGATACCGATGATCCTTGGCCGTCGAAAGAGGGACCTAATGGCTTCCAGGTTGAGACTCCTGGATCACGATGATCCAATGACGAATATCGATCGTCGTGTCCAAGGAACGGGACTACGATAAGGAAATTAATTCAGGAAAATAAAGGAAACTGGATATAATGAATATAAAGAAAGAAGAAAAAAGAAATTAACCAAATTGGAAAGAATTTAGAAAAAGAAAGCTTCCGATAGAAAATACGAAAATGAAATTAGCAAACTAGAGTTTGAGAGAGAAGCTAATGGTGTACAGGATAAATCTATACGTCTAGCATTAAGAATCTAACTTAAGCCTTTCTGTATTTTTATTTTCCATGATTTTATGTTAATCGGGATTTAATTCAACAATGGTTAGCCGTGTTATCTAATCGGAAACCGGAAGTGTCTTTGCAAGGAGGAAGATTAGGTTTCTGTCATAAGCATACTTATATACACACATATCAGGATATTACGTAGACGAGCAACTTATTTATTATTTATTTATTTATTTATATGTGTATTTATAACATACTTTACATTTCGTCGTTCGCTTAAATACTTAATAAAAAGCATAAGTACCAACGAAAGTTATGATCGAAGAGCGAAAGTGTCACGTGGAGAATAAAAAAATAGAACTTTTCGCTGCAAGTTTCTCAAAACCTCCCTCTTTCCTCGAACGTTCTTTCTATTGCTTACTTTCAACAGAAATTACGTTCCATGCAAAGAATCACGTTCCTTCGCATTTGTCTTTAAAGCTCGTCGTCCCCGAAAGGACAACCCTTCCTCCCTAGGCCCGAATCGTGGATAACGGCTTAATAACGAAACTTCGGATAAATAAATAAACAATTCAGCGTTTATGAGACAGCTCGCGAGAGTTAACAGTGTCGTGAAGGTTCATACGTTTAAACAAAATGTGGAAAGAGCAGTTCTTCATCGTCAGAGTATTACGCTAACAGGGGGTGAGTCTGACTCTGGGAGCTAAAATAACTTCATCATTCTCACAAGGAAGAAGAAATATTCGTTTCCAAAAAAGGAAGAACAAAACCAGCGATTTTCTCGAAATATCGAATAAGAACATCTCGATTCTACTACCCAAAAGCATGTAAAGAAACCTTTAAACGTTCTCCAAATATCGTCTTCATCGTCCAGAAACAAGCATTTCTTCCGGAAGAAACGAAGAAAGAAAGGATAAGATGCAAGGAAGTAAAAAATGAAGGAAAAATAAACGACGAAGGTATTTCAGGTTCTACCAAGCAACGACAACCCCCGCAGAAGGGTCCAACCAGAAAGACGTGCCAAAACAGTCTCTATCCCCTCGAGGTTCCCAGACTCTGAAACCGTCAAGACGCGAGGGATTTCAGTTTTCGAAACGAGGTCCTGGCGTGCTCGAAAAGAAGGTACGTGCTAGCCTAGTGACGTTGTGAATCTCGGTCGTCACTCGAGTCCATTGTGCTCAGCTTCCTCAAAAAGAGCCACTTCACTCCTCGCCATTGATCCTCTTCTGCACGTGGCCGAGGTATCTGGCGAAACCCTCGCTGGCATGTTTAAGTAGCGTCAGACCGAGCCGGAACTTGATCTCAGCGATCTTCTTCACGAAACTGAAGAGATTGAAACCGTTCTGCTCGACCGGCTTCTTCGTGGTCAGCTCGATCCACTCGACGGTGTTCTGCTCGGTGGTTTTAGGGTTGGTCGTCGTGTTACCTTCGGAATCGGCTTCAGTGGAGGACGAAGACGAAGTGGAGGAATCGACAGATTCCTTTGTCGCTGAGGAAACTGTAGAAGTGTCTACGCTGCTGGCTGTGCTGATCTCTGAAGTCTGACTCTTGGTGGTAGACTCCTTCAACCGTACATTCTCGTCCTCTTTCCTTCTTTCACTCTCGAAGTCCTCCACCTCGTGGTCTTTGATCTTCTTCCTCTTCTTCGCGTCATCGTAGTCCTCCTCTGGCAAAGCTGAGTCGATTATATTGAGGATTTCGTTGCTCAGGTCTTCCTCCTTCTCTTCCTCTTCTAGCTCTCGCTTGGAAGGAATGATTTGGATCACGGAGTCCCTTTTTCTTCTCGAATGATGAATTTTCGTTGACTGTGCGTTCGCCGGGTTTGGCAGAGAACGTTTGATCTTCAAAGACCTAGGTCCGTGTTCCACGGCTACTGCGGTAGGCGTGATCTCTACCTCTTCGTAGGTCTCGTCGGGTCTGGCTGTCTGGACCTGACCAAAGTTCTGAACAGATCCCATTGGGTAATTAAAGTTCTGATTTATGTCACGGTCGAACTGTATCTGTCCACTTTCCGTGGGCTCGTAACTGTTAGCCAGCTTTCCTGGGGTGGATAAAGCTGGGAGCTTGTCTTCGTAAGGTGGATACTCCTTTGGAATGCTCCCAACAACGAATTGTCGATTGGCTGAACCAGGCAGGGCTGAGCCAACTACGTATTCTCGGTGTTTAGACCTGTCATAGTAATTGGGGGTACTTGGAGTGTCGGAATAACGATAATCAGTGTTCCTGTACTTCAGTACAGAGGCTGTATTGTCTGGACGATACATTGGAGAGGATGAAGAGTACCTTTGGTCGTTTTTCTTGGAAGTCTGAGAGTCAAAGCCTCCGTCATAGTGCTGGTACCTGTAGTAATTGTTGTCATAGTCTTTGGAACCAGGGTACTTGGTTTCGTCGGTAGTCATACCCTGAAGAACCTTGGATAAGACTTCTTCCTCGCTCTGGCCATAGTTTCCGCCATATTCGTCGAAATTGTACTTGTATTTAGGCTCGACCTCGTAGTTTCTTCTGGTAACGGTTCCTCCAAAGGGATACAGGAAGTAGGAAGCCAGGCCGAGTCCCAGACCCACTAGAGACATCACTCCAAAGCTAGGCATCACCTCTCGGCTCAAGAAGTTATAAATCTGCATGCTAATGGGCGTCGAAGCTGGCTTCTTCTTTGTCTTCGTCCAATTAGTGGCTACCTTAGTCTCGGGTACTATCTTTGACTCCTGTATTCCATTTTCAGCAACAGATTCGTCTGCTATTAACTCAGTCTCCGTTGTGCTTTGCACCAACGACGTGGCGGTAGTTGTAGTTGTAGAACTTGCCGGCTTTCTTCTTCTACCCTTGTTCTTCTTCCTCTTAGAATTATGTCTGGGTCTCTTGGTGGTCGACGTAGTCGTCGTGGATGGTGTCGTGCTGGTGGAAGTCGAAGACGAAGTAGAAGCTTCTGTGTCCACGTTGATCTTCGTCAGCTCAGGGTTGAAGTCGAACTTCATCAGGTCTATTCTAGTATTATCCATGCTCTCCGTTTCCTTTTCGGTTTCTTCTTTCTTGATGTCTTCCTTCTCTACCTTTTCGATCTTCAACACAGGTGTATTCACCTTAATGGATTCTACCTCAACCTTCGTAGCTTCATCTAAGGGCTTCTTCAGTTGTACTTTCAGCACGTTGTTCACTTTCGTGCCAATTGGCTTGGGCTTCACTGACAACTCCACTAGATTATTGTCAGCTGTGGTCGACTTAGAGGTTGTATTAAGCTCTAAACTGGGTGTAGCCGAGACAGGAGGCTGCACAGTAGTCTTCTGTGTGTCCATCAGAATCGATGCTTTGATCTTGGTCACGAACATAGGCTTCTCAGTGCTATCTATCTTGTTCTTCGGGATGGTAAACATTTGGACAGGTCTGAAGGTGACCTTCTCTATCTTAGCAGTAGACGCGTTCTCGCTCTTGACAATATCCGGTTTTACCGTAGTCCTTCTGGCAGGTGGTTTGGGTCTATTCTGCTGATTAGGCCTAGGATTCTTCGACATAGGTTTAGACAACACAGTAGTCTTCATGGTAGCAATCTTAGGCTTAGGAGTCGTCCTTACAAGCTGGACCTTCTTGGTGACACTGACAGTTGACTCTTTACTCTCTAAATTACTCATAGTAGTTTGTGGGACCTTCAAAGTGGTACTCTGAATAGGCTCTACCTTCTCTGTGCTTTGAGTTTTATTTAATTTTGCTTCAATGGTCTTCTTAGTGCTCACTGGAAGAGGTTTTCTTGTAGTGGGTGTCTCTTCTTCAGCTATCGTCGTGGAAGCTGGCACGGTAGCCTTTTCTGTCACTCTTTCAGTGGTGTCCACACGCTCCATCAAGGTTGTGGACTTGACAGTCAACTTGACTTCAGTCTCAAACGGCTCTTTCGTCTTCTTCTCTATCTCAGTCTTCATGGTTGTGGATGGTGGATTCAAAAGGATCCACGTGGAAATTCCACCAGTGGTCGTTGGGTGATTCTTATAAGCACTCATCAGACGTGTCGAAATCATCTCTCTTTCAAGCTCCTCTTCGGTAATTGCCATGGCTTGGCCTGGATGACTGGTCTCGAAGTAGCTGAACTTGGAATTAATTGGCCTGCCAAATCCACTGTTGACAGCCTGACCATTGTTAACGTGTATCTCCTTTATGGGAGTAGCCTCGTTCCTTTCGATCGGTTTGTAACTCATTACGGGCTTCTTGATCACGTTGTCGATGATCTTTGGTGGCTCTTCATGGTTGGTCACGTTCAATAGCTGAGTGGCCACTGTTCTTAATGACTGATCAATGTGCTGCAGGTCCTTTAGGTGGCGCTGTGTTCCGTTCAACTGTGTACTGAAACGAAATTGACTAGTTAAGACGGTTTCTGGTCAGATTGGTTCGACAAGACAGGTTTGTGATAAGCTAAGACAACAATTTAGGCCAGAGTCAATTTATGGTTGTTCCTTACCTTTCTCTCTGTCTGTAAAATTTTGGAAAAACTTTTGAATGGATTTGGAACAATGGAGTCGTGAAATTTAAACGAGGTATCGTCTCAGGAAGTTGAGGACTATGGAGGTGTCGATCATTGGTATCACTGTTGACAATAAGATAACCATAAATTTCGTGGATGTATTAAAAAAAAGAAATGCAAATTTGTTCAAACGAATGGTTTATTTCAATTACAATTCACTGGCACATGTACTAGCAATGCCCTAGGTTATCTAGAAGAAGTAATTCAAGTAAATTGTTACCATTAAAAGTACAATATAAGTACATCTGTAATACTGTTTGTGTGCGTGTTTCTATTGGTAGAAAATACTCGTTTACACCTACTTATAACTACAGTTTTAAAGCTATTATTGGCGAGGTTAATTCTCTATCTTCTAAATACCCTTTCTATCGTTCTATACCCCTTACCGTTCAGATTGTCCATAAATAAAGTGACTAAAGTTTAAAGATCACTTTTCTGACTGTCAGAAAAGGTGTTAAATATCATAGCTTCTAAAACTATCTACGTTGCTAAAAATATTTCAGCGACTATCTAATAAAGCAATGTACAGGCTGATTCAACAGTGATGATATCCTTTTATTTCCTTACATGGAACATCACAATTGGATCACCCAGTACACACCACACTTTCATCGTTGGTATCCACGTGATCCTATCAGTGGCATTCCCAGTTCCTGCCTAAAGTGTCTAATCTATCCAACCTCTATCAACCATGGAATCCCTACACCGTCTCAAAATTCCCCAAACTCTGACCTCGTATCGCCAAAGAGGAGCAGAACAACCTAACTCTGTCAATTTTCAGTCATTCATCTCTTTCTCTTCTTCCTCTTGCTCTTCCATTCGTTCACCCTTCCATACTTCTCCATGGACTGCCTTACCACCTCTTCGAGATTGGACCAAATACTGTCCCCAGCGTTACTGCTAGCTCTACTGAAACCAAAGGAGCTAGGAAACAGCCAAGGATAGATAAAAGTGACTATGCCAAGCACCCCAGCTGCCAGAGCAGTGAAAGGAGCAGCTGCCACGCTGAAGAAACCATAATGCAAAGGATTGATGAACGTGAAATAAGTGAACACCGAGGTTATGGAGTCCATGATGCCAGTTGGAGACAAGTCAAAGTCGTCATCATCGTCATCATCGTCAATCGGACGGGTTGGAGGCGAAGATCCGACAACTAGACCTGCTGGAGGAACAGGAGAAGACCCCGGAGATCCCGAAGCTGATCCAGCTGGTGCAACAGCTGGTCGAACCAAGGAGTTCACACCTGAAGAGTCGCCTGCCTGACCAGTCTCTGAGCCAACTGACGAAGAACCTGGACTATGACCTAACGAGTCAGGTTCCTCGAGTTCTGTAAGGGAAGACTCGACTGGAGAAGAAACTTCTTCCGACGAGCTAGAAATACTGATCTGAGTGTCCTGGATCACTTCGAGATTGGAAACGTCGTTTTGATAAAGAGACTGATCCTCTGGATCCACCTGGGAATCATAGTAACCACCCTGGGGCCACTGAGGTGATCCTGGAGGATTGTATTGGTAGACAGGTGTAGGCTGATAATTGGTACCTGAGCTTACTTGACTACCAGGTGCGTACTTATCCACTTCTCCATATGTCTGATAGTCTTCAGGATTAACCTGATCAGTCACGGGAGAAGGAGTGGACTTGTAGACGTTAGCGTTGAACACGTGGGAATTAATGATGATGTTCAAGTCTGTGCAACCATCTTTGCTTTGGATAGTATTGTTAATCCTCGTGTAGGAGTTGATTAAAATCGTAGGACACCTTTGATCATAAGTCACCACGGGTGTTTGGGGTGCCTGTTGATCAGACACCTTGTTACTTTCTTCGTAAGAAGTGAAGCCTATGTGTACATTTGGACCTGGCTTCGAAGTGGTGGTAGAATAAGGGTACAGTTGTGACGAGATCAAGGAAGGAGGGTACGAAGTAGGAGCTGAAGAGACTGAAGAAGACGTAGACCCAGAAGAAGGCACAAAAACGTCAGAAACAATTGGTTTGATGAATCCCGCAGGTATTTTCGACCCAACTATCGTCTTGTTAGGCTTCTTTGAGTCTGTGTTTATCAAATGAACGACAGTGTTCTGGGAAACTTGGGTCTGAGGATTGTAAATAACAGGTCTCTGAGTTTTGTTCCTCGATGGGACAGTTCCTGACCAATTCGGGACATGTCCTGTAGAGTAACTAGGTGGTCTAAGAGGACGAATGAACCCAGGCTTGGGAATTTGAATATCGCTTGGCTTGGAAGGTTTATTTGGCTCCAAGTTTTGATAGATCGGGTCAAAAGCGACACTGACTGGCCCATTGATATGATCAGTCTCTATCACGTGGTTACCATTCGTCATAAAAGCAGGGATTTTCAACCAGTGAACTATCTCTTGAAGACTGGGACTCGAAATAGGCACATGGTAGTTGAAACTGGAATTCTTCAGCGGAAGCGGCCTCTGAACAGCCTCTTCCGGCTTCGGATCATCTCCCATGGAAGTATACTTATCGTAATTATGAAAATCATCGGCATTCTGAATGGCACCGTTGGGCCAATTCTTCAAGTTCGAATTAGGATTAGAAGAATTGCCCTTATTGGCATGTGTCTTGTTCGAATTCACCTTATTTTGATTCTTCTTGCTCGGATTCGACAAGTGACCACCTGGACGACGGATTCTCGTCCTGTTCGAGTGTTTTGGATTCGAATATCGGTTGGAATGGCCCTGTGAAGAAGAGACCAATGGAATACCAACGTGGTAGTCAACGCTGTTCTTGTTTTCCAGGGGTAACCTAGAGTTTGATTGCTCGTGAGTCAGCATGTTGGTGATCTTTTTGATAGCCGCGACGTGATTGAACGGAGTCGTGGCCTCGACCTTCGCGAAGATCCCGTCGAAATTGGAGGAAAGCTGTGATCCGAGAGTCCCTATCTTCTGATTCGAGAATTCCGGATTCCGGCCCATGGTCGCAACATTCGATCGTGAATTATTCATCGTAATCTCGTTCGTCCTTCTGGACAGACTATCGCGCACGTGGCCTCTGGAGGGGCCATTTTTCGTGGAATTCAACCGAATGGTGACCCTCTTTGGGTGCGAACTTCCCGAATTCAGAAGTGGGACATGCGTATACACAGAATTCAATTTCTCATCCGATCTTTTCGAGGAAGAATTCGTGGAACTTCTACTCGAGTCACCTAAAATGGTACCTTTCGACGTTTGACCTATGGAATGACGACGAAACGTGTTTCTAAGCCTAGTCAGGTTACCATTCTTTACCGGATGCACGTGAAAGATATTCGTGATCTGTTGATCGGTTTTCACGATCGATTTGTCGATTATCCTTCCCGAGTTTTTTAAACGAGGGCTCGAGGGGTCCCAGAAATTGTTCGAGCCAGGACGTTGAACGTCAGGCGGTCTCGGCTTCCTCGTTTTGTCGACACTTACCTCGTGGTTACGTTCGACAAAAGGACGGATATTATCGCGATTACGGCTAATGTACGGAATACTACTACTGCCGGAATTCCACGTGTACCTGCTATCTTCTCGAACGGTCTGCACGCCGGAAGTTCTCCATTCCTCGGGAGTCGCCTTCGATGGCTGCGTTTCAATCGAGCCTTCTGGAAATTTAAACAAAAATCAATTAGAATACGAATAAATAATTATTATTTAATATTTCATTCAAAATTATTTAATTTTATTCTTAACAACCTTTGCTAATATTTAGTTGTAACTTAATTAATTTTTTAACGACGTTTAAAATATTCGGAAAATAGTTATTAAATTCGTTATTATATTTTAATTATTTTCAAGGTCTACTAGTGGAACAGTAACGTTTAGGGTACTCGGACTTCTCCACGTGTTTCTCACGCTGTTCGTGACGCGATTGGTATCCAAGCAAATTTCATTACGCGTTATTTATTGTTATAGACAATAACTGCAGTTATGGTTCCTTAATGGGGATCGTTTGGATGAATAGATGTAGGACACCCGATTATCGATAGGAATATTAGGACATGATAGATGTAACTGGCTCGTTAGAATGAAAAATAAGACTCGTTAGTATGGAAAAAAGGTATGGAAGACGCGTGTTGAGAAATGAAATTTTGTAAGAAACGTGGAATCGAATTCGTTCGGTCAGAAAATTCCCGCTACGACTCCATGAATTACGTTTCCTGGTGAACGTGCAATCTGCGTGCAGACTGATTCGCGTAATCACGTGCTTCGCTTTCCTCGGACACGGAACGTCGTCGACATGATGAATATGATGAAACACCGATCGAATGGAAACAATGGCTTTGGCAAAATCGAAGCTTCTATCCGCGCAGAAAAGCTGGAAAAATTTGAAGATTGTCTCGTGCAAGGAAAACAGAAAAAACTGACAATTATTTTAGAAGTCGACAATTGAAAAATTTTAATTTACGATTTTAAAAATCCGTCAGTAATTGGAAATTTTCCAAATTATGGGAATGGAAATCTCCAGGTTGGAAATTTAATAATCAAAATGCTAGCAACTGTGTATATTATTATCAATGGGAATTTTAATATTATTTTACTTTTATTCGATTTTATTATTAACTATGAAATGCTTGGAAATCACAAATTTTTAATATCGTTAATATCTCAGAATATCCAAATTTGAGGATCTCGAAATAAAATACCTCGAAATAAAATCAGGGACATTTTAAAAATTCGAATTCTAAATTTACATATCAAATATAAAAATTTCAATATTTAAATATTCGAATATTAAATGTATGAATATTTCATTACCCCATTTCAATTTTATTTTCAAAAATAATACCTCGAAACAAAATCAGGGACATTTTAAAAATTCGAATTCTAAATTTACATATCAAATATAAAATTTTCAATATTTAAATATTCGAATATTAAATGTATGAATATTTCATTACTCTATTTCAATTTTATTTTCACAAATAATAGCTCGAAACAAAATGAGCAGTTTAAAAATTCGAATTCGAAATTTAAATATTAAATATAAAATTCTATATGATCGTTTAAAATTTATCCTCGTTCCAAATAAGAATGCCAAAGATATAATAGTGTATCTGATCATTCGACGGATACAGGATCCACGCAGGTTTCACGTGCTTGAAAAGGACACGAGGTAAAGTGAACTTGCACGAAGCGACTCGCGAAGATACTATCGCAATGATTTCGCCATTTTAGTATACTGGAAGGCCAATAATCCCGGTAATTGCAGAGCGCTTCGCTCGATTAGAGGCTATAGGCCTCACCCCGGTGGAACGAAAGTTTCACGGAAGCCGGCTGCATTTCCACTAGCCGATTTGCAAGCGAATAAATACGTAGTACCTCGTCGTGACGATTATTCGACGATCGAAACGTCTGATTTCCACGGAAGGTACCGCCCTATCCTTTCCACGTTTCCGCGTCGCAGCGTTTCGCTTTTTCCCTGCGAAACGTTTCCCATCGAACGATCCCGGTCTTATCGGTAATCGGCCCGATATTCATGAGAAACATCGACTCTTACCGGTTCTCTGAGGCCTCGCGTTTCCAGATCCTGACAGCAACAGGACCACCACGATCGTTAATAGCTTCATCCGCATTTTTGCACTGGAACAAGAAAAGGAGCAGTGATATCATCGATCCACATTAATCATCCAGCTTTTTACCGATCTCTCGATCCCGCTTTAACCGTGCGATAAGATATTTCCTTCGGATTATTTATAGCACCCCGATCCTAACCCTCGAGTCCGCACCATGAATTTGCAATAATTTTATTAATTTGAAATAATTTTATTAATTTGCAAAAAGCTGACAGACCAAGGATTCCACGGGAGTAATTTAGGCTACGGAATTTTTCACAGCGTGATATTTATGGTACATGGATTTCGGAACAGGTTATGCTATATATATATATACGAATTATTTATGGTATACTTCTTGTACTATGAAATTTATGACATATAAAGTCCGAATCGCGTTATATCTTTAATTGCGAATCTTAACATAAATAATTCATAGATAATTTTATACCGCGAAATTTACGGTATACTAATTTTGGATCGATGAATAATTTACAGTGCGCAATTATTTATGGCCCACGAATTCTGCATCGCGTTATTATCGGTCATTTAAATCGCGAATAACCCTCTTGCAAAAGGATGCACGAAGAACGAGAAGTGGAAAAGAAATAAAGGACCACGTTTCTCCTCGACCCACTAATCCAAACTTGATCTCTATTCAGCGTTTATCACGGATGGTATAATTGCAGGAGTAATACCAGGAAGCCACTTTTTGTTCCGATGGTCAGCCTCAACCTGCTCGAAGGTGAGGCAGGCTGAATCGTTTAACCCTTTGCTCCCTTCAGTCGCCATTTGATAAAATTTCGAAGATCGATATTAACCCTTTGCACTCGAGAGGTGACTCTCAGTCACCATTTAATCAGATTCTAAAGATCGACGTTAATTAATATATCAAATTTCAAATTACCTAACGATGTGTGGAATGTCGAAGAAAAATAATTCTATGTCTAAATTTGCATATGATTTCTCATTTACCATTTCGAAAATATCGTCGACTCTATGACAGAAAGTCTTCGAATTACTATTTTTCTGTAACGAAAAAGTCGTCGAGTGTAAAGGGTTAATTGCTATATCAAATTTAAGATAATGTAACGGTATGCAAGGTATAGAAATCAAGTTCTATATGTTAATTATTATACAATTTCTTATTTACTGTTGGAAAAAGTATCGTCAACTTTATAGCAGAAAATCTTTGAACTTCTACTCATCTTCAGCCAAAAGATCGTCGAGTGCAAAGGGTTAACCGATCGTTTCGGGGCCTGTTCAAAAATCTCCTCGTGATATCGCAGATCACGATCAGGTGACGTAATAAGCATCGACAGGTGGTTCGATCGACTGCGGGTGCAACACGTCGGGAATGTTTGATGGCCGATTTCAGCACGAAGGTCTCGATCGAGGCGATCGTTCGTATTCGATTGCCATGCCTCGATCGTTCACTCCGCGATGCCGGTCGCATGGAAATGAGAAGCTTCTAACTAATATCGAGGAAGACACCGTTCTGCCTTTTCAGCATGCAGATTGCAGCCTTGTAAAATGTGGAATGGATCCTTTTGTGAAAAGTCGTTTTCTCGCGCTTCCTGTTTACCGACTTCCAAACGCTATTACTAATTAGATATTTTCGACGATTTGTATGCTTTTCCTTAAACATACTATGGGGTACTAGACGAATTTTGGGGGAATTTGGAATGAGAGTATACGCGCGAGAAGACTTCGAAGTGGAAAAATTCTGGGTGGATTTTAAAGCATTCTTTGAGCACTTTAAACTAATTGTAAGTGCCAATTAAAATATTTATCTGTAATTATCTGTTGAAGAATATCCTTGATAGGGCTAAATTTCCTTTTCTGGGAAGCTTCTTGCGAAGGATATTGGTGATTGGTTCTTGAGCAACTTATATCATCGCTTTCCTATCCTTTGACAATTAAAATTCGTTTATTCAAAAATATTATTGAAATCCTAGATAATGGGTAATACAAAATTCGCCATAGTTTAAATTATCGGTACCTAAAAATTATAATTATCTATATCATTAACGCTAGAACTACCAATCCAGTGAAAATGACTGGTCCCAGAATTTTCCTTTTTGCAATCACCGAACACATACACCTGCTTTAAGAATAAAATTGTTATCAACTCGTATTAAGAAAGAACTGTAATCAATATATTCGCTCATATTCATCGTATCGCTGAAATTACTATAATCTGTGCACGTTATAGTTAGGTACCCATTAAAAATCGGTAGTTCTAGTGTTAATAAGTGAATATAGCAGGACACAAACTGCAAATCCTAAAACTTTGATACTAAAAATTCTACATCATCGAGGATGTAGAATTCTCTTCTTCTTTATTCCCTAACAACTTAGATTCTTCCTTAACACTACTGATTCTATTCCAGATATAAAATTACTATCTACTGTATCAACTACTTTCCTGTTTTTATTTTATTCTTCCTATTAATTACGATAAAATTGGGAAATCTGGAGACACTGATACCACGAGCTCCGAGAGCCCAAAAAATCTAATAATCCTCACGAAAGCTTAAAGAATCCTCCAAACGCATGAGCCACCAGGCTCTAAAATCGCCACTGACCTATGCAAAAATATACGAATACACCAATATCCAAGATCCAAGATGCAAATTTCCCTAAGAAAGAGCCAATTCGTCGAAACTCAAGCGTCCCACAGAGTGGAATGGGCACCCACGTTCCCCTTTCGATAGCTTCCCAGCATGCACCGCGTTCCAGACTCCCCGTGGTTTCTCTGCAACGTGGTAAAAGCCTGATCGTCCTTTTTTCTTTCCTCCATTTTGTACCGTTGCATCTTTTTCGTTGATATTCGTGTCCGGTAACGGTACCGGGCTATCGGTCTTCTTAGGCCCCATTTGCATGTGGCGGCGCGCACGAGGTGCATCCTGCGCGTAGGTCGGCCAGCGTGTCAGCAGGCACTGTAAATCGTCTAAGGATATCGCTGCTCGATTATAGCGAACACGTGTACCGTTACGTCGAAATACTTTTGAAACGTGTGTCGCGAATCGTTTCGACTATCCATCGTCACGGTATTTTCTCCGGATGGACCGTTTCCATGGCTCGTGTTTGGCCTGCTGCGTTTCCAGGTCGTGGTGACTCCTAGATGTTCTGGCTCGCTTGGGAATGGTTTCATAGTCAGCAGGGTTGGATGAAAGTAGGATGATGGAAATTGCAACTGAAGATCCAGTATGATAACTGAAGAATGTGGTAGAGTAAGACTGATGATGACAGTGCAGTTCGGTGTTGGATAGGTTCGTGATCGATAATTATCGGAATCGAGCAATTACTCGAATTTCCTTCGCGAAAGAATTCGTCAAAGAATCGGCTCCTGGTGATGGTAATTATGCGAACCGAACGGTATCTGAACCCGATGAATCGTGGCTCCCTACATTCCTGACACAGAGGTCTCGATAGACAGCAAGTTCCATTTTAGCTTCTCGAGTCTGATCGATAGTGATCGTCAATCATCTCGCGAAAGAAGAAACTATCACAGGTGAGACATTCGACGAGGAAAGTTATAAGGACATGTCCTTAGTAGGACACGAGAACGCGGGGTCTAAGTAGTCTCCTTACCTGGATCTCAGAATCCTCCTGGAAGCCGCATTTAATCACTAAACACGCGTAATGGACGAAGTCGAAGAGGCACAAGAAAGAGAAAGAGATGAGAGAATCGAGGTGAACTGAACGTCGTATCGACGACGCGAAAACCGTCAAAGGGGAAGACTGCGAAAAGACACTGTCCCGGACTGGAGGGTCGAACGAACGAGGAGCTAGGATCGCGAGAGAACGCGAGAGGAATCGCGAGTGTCGTCCAGCCAGACGATCTTTCGACAATGGTGCACGGCTGACTGAATCCACGACTCGAAGGTTGGAGAAGTGGTGGGCCGCGTGCACGCAGCTGGCCACCGGGTAATCCGGCAAGGTGGAGAGGCGCCTCATGCACGAGTCATCGGGAACCCGTTACTCCGTGTTGCCTACGAACGAGATCTGCTCGGGTTGAATAACCTTCGCCGCGGCGTGTATGCTAAAGCGTGTTCGTGACTACCTTGGCCGATCACCTCGGGAACTGGGTGAATCTCCGCCGGCTCCTCAGCAGTGCCCGAAACGGGGAAGGACGCGAGGAACAGAGCCTCCACGCTCGATTGGAATCGCCTGGGTGATGTAACCCACGCGATACGGGAAATCCTCGACCAGGATTTCGTGAAGGGAGTAATCGGTGATAGGCGCTGCTCTTTTAGGTTCCATGGGTCTGTTAGTAAATCTATCGGAGTCTAAGGATAGATTTTCAAACTTCGATTGAAAATTCCGTATTTAATGTTAACACTTCGCCATTTCATTTCGACATCCTCGCAATCTTCTGTTTTTCGTGTCTTCTAATTGTAAGATTCGTAAGGAATTTATTTCAAGTACGATTGACTATTCGGTAGGTCGATGATCTCGTAGAACGAATAATCGAAGGTGATATTACTTCCTGAGAAAAGGGATTGAAGTTTCCATGGGTCTGTTAACACTAAATCTATCGGAGTCTAAGGATAGATTTTCAAACTTCGATTAAAAATTCCGTATTTAATGTTAACACTTCGCCATTTTACTTTGTCATCCTCGTAATCTTCTGTTATTCGGTAAGTCGATGATCTCGTGGAAAAAATAATAAGAAATGGTGTTGTTTTTTAAAAAGAGGGGTCAAAGATCCAATGGGTTTGTCAATAGTAAGTCTATGGAAGTCTAAGAATAGATTTTCAAACTTCGATTGAAAATTCCGTATTTAATGTTAACACTTCGCCATTTCATTTCGACATCCTCGCAATCTTCTGTTTTTCGTCTCTTCTAATTGTAAGATTCGTAAGGAATTTATTTCAAGTATGATTGATTACTTGGTAGGTCGATGATCTCGTAGAACGAATAATCGGAGGTGGTATTGCTTCCTAAAAAGAAGGATCGAAGGTTTCATGGGTTTGTCACTAGCAGGTTCATCGAGATCTAAGGACCGTTTGTAAAGCATTA